ATTCGTCGAATTCCCCAAATTATGGGGAAAAAAGAAACCCATTAAATAATCAACCGACAAAGTTATGAATTCAACTTTTAACTGTAAATATTGTAAATACTTTTATTATAATTATCACACAATATACCAATTACTTAACCAAAGGCAATTTAAATTATTGTGAAACCATATTTTTATATTTAGATCAAACGATTTATTTTAAAAATGATTAAAATAAAGAGTTTATGGTTAATTTTGATCAAATTACCGGTTAATTTACCGTAAAGATATTATTTAAATAACTTTTAGGTACTCTAAATGCTGACAATTATGCGCTGAATTAAAAAAAAAAAGATTTTTTTTTAAATTGGAATACGAGCCGATTGTTTGAATCGATTTTTGATTCAATTTTTTCTTAAATTTTCATTTTAGTAAACCTTCTGTAGAATATCGTTATGCTAATAGAAGAATTGTAAAGAACATTCCGTTATAGGTTAGTTTCTAACAGTATAACTACCAAATATTTATAAAACAGACTGAACAAAATGTTTCTTAAGTTATTTGTGACCACCATTTTAATGTTTTCTTTTACTTTCGGGGTCAATTAAATGATTATAAATGTCAATAAAACTCAAATATTATTTTTCGCAAAATCACACAAATCATCGAAAATGTACATTTACGAGTTGTTTCTTTAAGATCTTATTTTGTATAATTTCAACCTTACACGAATATTTAACTCCTAACTTTGCCAAGACTGATACGAAAAAGTCAATTAGAACTTAATTATCATACTTGTATAATTATAACGAATATAACCAGCAATTATAACTTACTTCAATAGGAATATATTATACATATAGGTTATGTTGTAATTTATTTCTAGCAGTTAATGTAAATCATACCAAAGGTAAATAAATGTATTTGTATTAAATTGTCGTTTTTTTAAACATGTTAATTTCTATTTCGTCGCAGGGCTAGTCGAATGCATTGTCCTTTCTTTACATATAATCCGCATGGAATTAATCAAGACAAAAGTGCCTATAAGTAGCCTATGAGTTCTTCTAAACTATACTCCACATCTATGCCAAATTTAATCGAGACCCATTCAGCAGTTTAGGCTACAAACTCTAACCATAGTGCCCGCTTTAACATCTTAGCACTGCAGGGCCGGCACGCCTGGTGTAATACCACGACCACACAGAAGACAGGCGTGAAATGGAAGCAATTCCGTGTTTCGTCTGATGAGTGTGGTGCCGGAGGCCTAATTTAAGTCCCTTTCCACTTTCCACTTTACCACCCTTTTCTTATAAGGAGAGGTTGGGAAGTGGAAGTGAATTTGACGGTGGAGGAGATGCATAGGAAGGGGAAATATCCTCTTTCTGTGAGTCTCCTCCTCCGTCAATGAAGGGTAGGCAACGCATCTGCAATTGCGGATGTCTATGGGCAACCGTCGCTTCGCCCTATTATGTTATAAAAAAAATCCATCCATCCATCTAAACTTTTGCTTTAATAATATTGGTAACAATATCTTAACGTATTAATATTATAAGCCACTATTATTTCGCAAAACTTAATCTGCACCTACGATCAATTTGCTTTTGCTTTAAGTAAAAGTAGTTTGAACACCGAAGTAGCAGAGACGTTTTGTAATTCAGTACAAAATAGTCTAAACAACTTCATGAATATCTGATGAACATCACTTTTAATCAGTAGTGATTAAATATAAAAGGAAGACAACAAAGGGGGGTTGTGAAAATTCTCACCTACAATACTGAATTATGCTTCAAATAAATAAAAAAGAAACCCAGGTGTTGTATTTTAATGGTCCTATATACCAAATGGTAACACTGTTAGGTTCAGTATGATGATTAATTTATATGGTGGTAACATTATTTTTGTCTGTCACTGTCACTGATTGCGAGTGTCAAGTCAGGTGTTCACGAATTTCTAGATTACAGAAATTTTAAGCCAAAACATGGCGAAAAGAATAGCACAGAGCTCCGTGAACTGGGCAGCCCTGGCAGAAAGAGTGCCCGCCGAGCAGAAAGCCCACCTCGCCGCTTTCAAGATCAAGTCCGATGGCTACCTTCGTAGGTTAGTATTTGACAAGAATGTTACATAATTTTTATCATGTATTTAATTCAATTTCATTTTGTTCTCATAAATCAGTTACTCTTAAATTGAGATGTAATTATTTTACGAAGATCTTACATAAAAATCGTACATTATGTGATTATTACGGTTTGTTAATGTTTTACTGTACGTATTATTATTATTACATATTATTAACTAGCATTATTATTAAAATAAGGAAAAGTGAAAAATCTCCAATAAATGATGACATAAAAATAAAATTTTAACTTCCAAAACATTTCAGAGTGCTGGCTAACCCACCTGAGCCTCCAGCGATCAACTGGAGCGTGTACAAGCAGTCGGTGCCCATCCCCGGCATGGTGGACAACTTCCAGAAGCAGTATGAGGCTCTCAAGATCCCCTACCCCACAGACACCATGAGTGCTCAGGTGGATGCTCAGTGGAGCGAAGTCAAGAAAGCTATTGATCAGTTTGTTCAGCAGTCCAATGCTAACATTGTTAAGTAAGTTTGGCATGTTACTTAGAAATGTTTTAGAAATATGTTAAGAAATGTGTAAAAATTTATTTTTATTTTTCAGCTTTGAGAAACAAGTAGCTGAGATCAAGGCTCTGCTACCATATGACCAGATGACGATGGAGGACTTCCGCGATGCATATCCTGAGCAGGCTCTTGACCCCATTAACAGACCTACTTACTGGCCTCACAACCCTGAGGACCAGGTGGATTATGTCGACCCGGAGAACAAGGCTGTTGAGTCACATCACTAAACTGTTCGGAATTTGTATAATGTCAAGATGCGAAGAATTGAAAGAAAAGTCTTATTCTATATTGAAGCCTTGCTAAGGAATGCTTTAGGATAATTTTCTTTCTATTCATGTTCTTTGAAAGGTTTAAAAGTAATGCAATTAAATACTGTTTAAAGTTTATTTCTGAGCTCAAATATACATCAACATATATACTATTCAAATAAAATTCTACTATTTGATTGTCTTGACATTGTACAAAGGTTTATATTTGAAGTGATTATGCAATTGTGTAATTTATGTTGTAGGAATAAAGTGAGTAAACTTACTTATTTGTTTTATTTTAAAATACCTAAGTTACCTCAGAAGTAAAATAAAACAATATGCTTACAAGAAACATTTGAATGATTCATTTTTCATTTAATATTCAAATATCGAAATCCTTAGAAGTTTCTTATATGATCTTTGGGAGTCAAGTAAATAGACAAGATATGCTGAAATGGGAAAGAAATTAGAATAAATTCCAAGACACAGGTACTTTATGTAAAAATGTTTTATCAATATAACTGTTCAATTAAACTAAAGTGACTTGTTCAGTTATAGTTTTGCCAAACACAATTACTAAGTGATCAGTTTGACTATTAACAACAGTGATGTGGGGAATATGGTGTTAAAATAAAACAATAAAATAATTTATTGTAATTTATTTGGTAAATTGCACAATACAGTGGACATTGAACAATAGCAACAATGCAGGAATGTCTTAACTGATTACCCATTTGAATGTAATTTTCACCCAGTTACCATACATTAAGATTTCTACTATAAAATACACTTGGCGTTATATTTAAAATTACAAATCCTTTGAAATAAACTTTGTTAGAAAACCTGATATTTCTTAAACATTTTACACACAAAAGAAATGAAATACAGTAGAACCTCGACAAGATAAACACAAAATATTTTAAGTTATCAAGGGTCTATGTTGTAGAGGTTTTGGGTTCTGATGGGAAGATAACATATTATCTTTTGAAGTTATATAGGTTTTTAAGTTATCGAGGTCTTACTGTATTAATACTTGATTGCCCATTTTTCCATAAACAGTAGACATATCTTTTAGAAGTACCTTTTTCTTCTATTTTTTAAAGATTACCATAGAGAAATGAATCTATATAGATTGCATAATAAATTTTCTTTAATACTAATTTTACAAATACATGAAATTTAATTCAGTTTAGAAATCAGTTGTATTTTAATGCAAAGAAAATATCTAAATCAGATTAACTCAAAAACTACTGGGTAGTTTATAACTTTGGAAAAAATTAAACATCCTATATGTTTAATTTTTTGGTTTTTGTAAAAAAATTGAAAATTGATGACCAGGTGAAGATATGCAGTTAAAAATATATAAAAACACGGGCAAATTGAGAACCTCCTTTTGGAAGTTGGTTAAAAATACTAGAGGTGCTTTAAACTATAAGCGGTGATGGATTTTTACTATTTACTATATTAAAATTGTCCAATTATATGCCAGCTCATAGCTGAATCAACTAACAACTTCATAGCATAATTCTATATTAAAATGCAATGAAATTCGTAGACAAAAGTTAATTTATATCTTTTAACTTATCTACATGTACACAAAAGAGAATTAATTGCGTATTTTAGTTACAATAAAACTACTGTATTTTCTAATACCTATAAAAAGGTATCATAAAAATAACTGACTATTTCATGTATGTAAGTAAATTTATCTATACTAATATCATAAACAGAAAATTATATTTGTATGTAACTAATAAACTCAAAAACTACTTGGCGGATTTTAAAAATTCTGTCACCATTAAAAAACTACATTAATACTGAGTAACATGTGATATAATTACTCGCTTTAAAACACGATGTCGGGTAGAATTAAACATTCTAGTAATAGCCTATATCGCTCATTGACAATGTAACTTTTTAATAGCAAAGTAATACTTAAAATCGGACCAGTAGTTATCGAATTTATTAGTTACATACAAAAATACAAATATATCCTACTCATGTTTACTTGAAACTACGCGGGGACGAATTATAATTCTTTTTGTCTACAAATTTACTTTGGCATATTTCAGCCAACAAACATATTGCTATCTCTATATAATTAAAGATAATGTAAGGGATGGTTATAAAATGCAGAATTATTTAGGGGGCGGCGGCGGCTGCGAGTACATATTATAATAAGAAGTCGGCGGAGGGACGCTAAAACTTTGATTCTGGTAACTTTGATCGTTGAAACCGCGTCCCCTGCCCCTACTTCCGCGGCCCCTGAAGGACCCACTTCCCTCTCGGTTGAAACCACTTCCCTCTCGATTGAACCCACTTCCCTCTCGGTTGGAAAACTGTCGTGTTTCAGAATTTCGCGTGTTATAACCCTCGGTGCGGCTGAAGCTCTGGCTGTAACTGTTTGAACTGTTCTCGTCCCAACGTGAACCTATAGCCGTTAATAGTTTTTAAATAAAGGTTTTCTGTCAATTGTATAGGAGAGGAATAAAATAAAGAAAATTATTAATACTTTTATATAAAATATATGAGTTAAAAAAGATAATATATGAATAACATATATTTGAAATTATAAAAAGCTCTATTTAATTATTTACTTTTGCAAATAAATAATTAAATAAAAACCTCTTTATTGCCATCCAAGAATACAAAGTTGTACAAAATAAAAAAACATACACGAAAAAATTATAACAGATGGCAAAATGGGGAGGCTCAGCTTAACCGATACTGGTTGAGATCCAGTGTCGAGCTGGTTTTCAGCAAATACAATAGCAAATGTCAAAAATCAAATTAGCAAATGACAATGAAGGCCTTTGACATTGGCTATCAATTACCGTTACCATGCTTTCTTCATGTTGTCAGCTTGTAATTTTTGTCTCTTTCCCGCATGGCGGTTTTTTCCAATTTATTTACTCCCTAAGTTTAATAGCGTTAAAATATATAGCCTATAGCGTGTCAAAAATGTAGGGCATTTTATTAAAAAGAGTATTATTCAAAAACATACTGAGATTGCTGACATCCTGCGTTACAAAGTAGTGTGTTTACGCTTTATTATATTAGTACAGAGAAGAGTATAAAGTGTTTATGTATGGTGTATATACCTCTGTCAGAGAACCTGCCGCGACCACGTCCCCTGCCGCGGTCGGAGCGGCCGCGCTCGCTGTCGTCACGGTCACGGAAACGATTGCGACCTGTCAATATTCTTTTATTGAGAAAACCAGTTGTAGAGACAACCAGATTACTCAAAATGAGAAAACTGGTTGTAGAGTCAACCACTTTTCTCAAAAGAGAAGTGTACTATCAATTCAAAGATACAATGTCTATAAACACTGTAAAAATAATTATTGATGATACAGGAAGATGATTACAAATGTTATGAGTTGTATGGTGTTTTGAGATATATGGTTGTTGAGATACACCAAACTTGTTTAAGGAAAAAGAACATGACAATTTAAACAAAAATAATGTAGTAAGTATATTAATACAATAAGTACCGTATTTCCCCTTGAATCCCATTCCGCACTGCGCCAGCTCCAGCAGCCGAGGGTTGACCACCTGGTTGGCCTCCTGCAGTACGCACATCAGGTCCTTTGCCTGATATAAATATTATATCTTAATATCCTATATGTTAAGTTTAGATGGATGGATGTTTCCATGTATCTCCAGAACGACGAAATGGATTTCGCTGAATGTACATTGCCTGGAAGACTACTAATTTTTCTTTTAATTTCTCGCAGACGGGGTCGCGTATGAAAGCTAATGTACACATAATTATGACAATCTAACTATCAGAGTTATGAATATCAGTCAATCATATCAGCCAGTTTATTCTTTGAACAATATCGGAAAGAAATTTCAAAACTTGGTCGTTATATACAAAACTAGCTTTCGCCCGCGACACCTTACGCGTAAAATTAAAAAATAATATAAAACATAGCCTGTTTTACTGAGAACGTAGCTTTTTAATGGTGAAAGAATTTTTGAAATCGGCCCAGTAGTTTTTGAGTTATTTCATTACAATCAAAGTTTTCCTTTTTATAATATTAGTATGAAGATTCCCCGCATACGGGCAACTGCGCGCTTAGGTGATGTATGAATTTGTGTGTTTGTTTTTGTGTTTGTCACCTTGGCGGAGTTGGAGGGTGTGAAGAGAGTGTAGGCAGTGCCGGTGTTCTGCGAGCGGCCGGTGCGGCCGATGCGGTGCACGTAGTCCTCGGAGTTGTTCGGGTAGTCGTAGTTTATCACAAACTTCACGTCCTCCACATCTGTACCCATTGTTACTCACGTCAGTGTACACTACATAAATACATATATACATGGATATTTATTTCTAGATGAAAATACAATTATTTTTCGCTATAACATATAAAAGCCAAGAATACTATACAGTTATCTAATAAAAATTTAAGGCGGACAAAATTGAACACAAAACAGTAATTTTGAGGAAACAAAAATTTCTTTAACATTAATAGAAATAAGAAAAAAAGCTTTAATTTATTTTCACAAATCATACAAACAACTAAACATGAATTCTTTTACAGTTAATATTTACCTGAGTGCAGTGTTCTCTCAGGCATCGGAGACAACTGGAAATAACTGAAAATGCCCGTCAGTGGTCCGGAGTGTTGTAGGCCAAGAGTCCAGCGGTGTGTTATGATCCTACCTCATTATGACTACGTCAGGTTGCGTAGGGCAGGCCCTTTAGTCTGTTCCTTAAATCTCTCATGACACATTACCCAAGCATTTTAATTTTTCGGTCTCAATAAACCGATTATAGGAAATTTTAATTTTTTCATATACATTTCATTTATAGAGGCTGCATGCTCAAAACACAGTGTGCGCTGACAGACTGTCAAATCATTATTTGATGATTCAATCATTGCTATCATTGAAATCATTGAAATGAGAATATCATAGAATTGATATCAGCAACACACCGCAAGACTAGCCCATATCTCTGCATGCGCCTCTGAAATAAAAACAATATGCATAATAATGCCGAGTCTACGTCATGGAAATTTAGTTGTTTAGATGCATTAGAGAACCTTGTATTGTTAATACAATCCATACAATCCTACTTAACTTAGATTTTTATGTCTCATGCCCCATATTAGCATTTCAAATTTTTTTATATATGAGACATAACATTTCAAATTAAAACGTGTAGTAACGTGATAATTTACAACATTTAAAAAAAAATTGCGTGTTTTCGTTATATTCGGTACCGAAAACATACCTTAGAGAAAAAGGGTAGGTTGTCTAGTCAAATTTTTTAACTGTAGAAAAACACCGGTTTAAATAAAACCCATTTTTACTTCATTCCTAACTAAAAATATAACTAATTGAAGTAACTAAATACATCAATAAAGTCTACGATAGTTTTCGAGTTTATCCCATAATAAAAAAAAATTATACAATAGTAAAGATTAATATTAGTTCACACTTCAATGTTATTCTTTAGAACAGATAAGAAAATGGTGATTTTAGATATCATAAAATGACCATTTTCCTGCCTTTTTTAAGGTTTTTTGTTTTACAAGGTCCTCATTGATGTCTAAAAGAACATTCCTAATGGTTAGGGCCATTGCTTTGTTTCATTAATATATTCCAATATTCACTATATAATTATTTGAATAACTTATATATAATTTACTTTGAGTTTAAAATCATAATTTATTGTTATCAGTTTTAATATAATGTACATAACAAGAAAGCAGTTATTTATTGAAATTGATTATTTTCAAGTTTTATCCATATTTGTGAATAATGGAACAAATCGTTATATCTTGATTGCTTCCAAACAATAAACGAAAACATCTCACTTTACTGCAATTTGTTATTATAATTAGTTGGATTACTGACAATTATCGAAATTATTAACCCTTAACCAAACAAGAGTTTTTTTTTAGATAATTGTGTTAAGAAGAAAAATAGTACCGCGCTGTAGAATTGGCACACCGCTAGATTATTGGTATAAACGTCACATCTCTGACAGCTGTCAATGTCATTAGAGGATGGATATTCGCGCGCATTCCTGGCGGGACCGCTAGGTCAGTGTTTTTATTAATATCGCTAGTTACAATTATATTAATTGTTTGAAAATAGTAAACTGGTGACGGTTTTTAGATGAGTTCAGTAGATATTGAAAAAATGCTCAATTATTTATAAATAGGGGGATTTTTTCCTGATTAGTTACTGATCTTACTAACATTACAAAGGCGAAAGTTTAGATGGATGTTTGTTAGAGTATGTAGCCTAAATTATCGAACGGATCTCAGACAAAGATGTAAAGGATAGTCTAAAAGAACCTATAGGCATGTTTATGTTTACAATATCAAGTAGGGAAATAATTGCCTAATATTTGATTAAGGGTTAAATATATTATTTAGCAGTCTTTGTGTGTGTTCGTTTTTACCCTGTGACCCTAGGGTCTGTTTGTGTACTCAGCAATGGCATCATTACCTTACTCTACGCTCCTGACATTCTCTTAGACCTTACACCCCGGGACAGAGCGAGATGGTTTTGCACCATTTAGACACGAAAATACCTCGCAACTGTTCATACAGAATCTTCTGTTTGATGCCGTTATTAATGAAAAATCTATAGGCGGGATTATTCACCACCAATACAGCATCAACATACAAAGGTGGCACAAACACAAGATAATCAACTTCTGGGCAATAACAGTGTATATTTGAAGTGTAAGTGTAAAGTGTATAAAACTGGGAAACTCACCGAGTCCCCGAGCTGCAACGTCAGTGGCAACCAGGATACCTCCAGTTGACATACGGAACTGACTGAGCACGTAATCCCGGTCTTGTTGGTTCTTGTCCCCGTGGATAGCTAGCGCTCGCCACCCGGCGCGGTTTATTGTTTTTGTTATATCATCCACCTATAGGATTATTTTATAACTTGCTGTACCCATGCTTCATCCATATTCAATTGAAATTTTATTTTTTACTTTGGAAAATCAATTGCAAATGACAATACAAATGCACAGACAATGAGAGATAATAAATACCATTACTATAACTATTGCTTATTAGCTGTTATTGGCTTATAGTTATTGTTCCTTTTACACATAATTTTTAATTTATTCAGTGCCTAAATTAAATAGCGTACCGTAATATATAAGGATGGGAAAATGTTGATACTACACTGAAATAACTTGTAAACCATTAAAGCCTACCTTTCGCTTTGTCTCCGCAAATATAATAGTTTTAGTCTCCTCTTCCGAGGATATTTCATTGAGCAGCGTCAGTAACTTCTCATTCTTCTCCCACTCCTCGCAGACATCCACAATCTGCAGGATATTGTGGTTGGCAGAAAGAGAAAGCGAGCCAATGTTGATCTGGATGTAATCATGGAGGAACTCCTCAGCTAGGTTCTGCACCTCTTTGGGCCAAGTTGCTGACCACATTAGTACCTTAAAGAAAATTTTTAGGTTTTTACATACATCATTATATTTGGTTTTGTTACACAAAAACAAAAACTAAAGTTCCATATTAACATCATTGAAATTCTAACACCATATGAGTCACTTTTAAGCTATTTTGGTGTCATTCGCTAGAGAATCCGAAGACGCATAGTTTTAGCCTATCAGAAACAAGTACTCTACATAAAATAGAACTATAACTAAGTCGTGGCGTCGGTGCTCAGTGGTTTCAACACTTGACTTGTAATCTACAGGTCTTGGGATCGGATCCCGCCATGTACCAATGTGATTTTCGATGTGTCGAATTTTCATACGTACATAATTTACCCGACGTTCTTACGGTGAAGGAAAACACCGTGATGCCTGCACATATCGGCGAAGAAATTCAAACAACCCCCACATGCGTGGTTGACTATGGCCTAGTCACCCCGTATTAGGGTAGGCTCCGAGCCCCTCAGTGGGGACGTATAGTGAGCTGGTGATGATGATGATGATGATGATGATAACTAAGTACCCTCGACCAGTGTATTATTATAGTATCTTTACAAAATGCAGTTGTTTCTCTCTCTTGAAAAGTAGATATTTTTGTCACTTATAATGTTAGAACTTCAACGACGATAAATTGATTCTTACCTGTCTGTCTGGACGTATTTGTTCAATGATCTTTCTGATCTGAGGCTCAAAACCCATATCCAACATCCTGTCAGCCTCATCTAGCACAAGATATGTGCAACGACGTAAGTTCGTCGTATCTATGTGAACAAAAACAAAAAATAACTTACAAAGGACACATTTTAACTTTATCTCAATCAAAGTAAATAAAGGCAAAAAATACTAGTATTCTTATAATGATTCAATAATAGATGTTTAATTTGATTAAGTATTTGAGTTTTAACTGGCTTTTTGGCTGGTTCCATGTGGATTTTTTATAAAAAACCTAATTTCTTGCCTATGTTTTTTGTGTTAAATCACAACAAGATCTATTCAACTATTCTAGAGATAAAAATCTAAACTTTCTTATCTATAAAGATTTATTTGATTCTTTAAAGAAAATTACCTTTTTCCAAGAAATCAATCAGCCTTCCAGGTGTAGCAATAACTATCTCCACGCCGCGCTCCAGCGACCGACCCTGCGGCCCTTTTGGAGCACCTCCAAATATACAAGTGTTCCGAACTTGAACATTCTGTCCAAAATCTGTTGCCACCTACAAATAAAACAAAAACGTTGTAAAAACATACAAAAAAACAGTGGCACCAACAAAACAAAAAGCTTGTACTGCTAAAAAATCTACAATCTACTTGAGAAATAGCAAAAAATAGCTAAGTAGTGAAAAAATAAATAAAATATGCTATTAAATAATTTTGAGCAAACTTTAAATACTAAGTAAATGGATTCTGTATTTAGATTTATTGTCTCTGATCAAATAATCAAATACGAACAATACAATTTTGATAAAAAATGTAGTACTAAGTATTTCTTGTGATTTTATCCATGCAGAATTAAGAAAAAATCAGTGATAATGTATCTTTCTAGTAGTGAAGGAATTTGTGAATAATACAGTAGTTTCCGAGTTTATTTCTGTGTCTCCGAGTGGATTTACAAAAAGACAACTACGTAGCCTGTGCTCTTCAAGACTATGTTCCAACATTTATATCTTTCATTGAGATCTGTTGAGATTTTCTAGAGATAGCTAACAAACATATGTCTATCTAAACTTTCATTTATAATCATCACCTGCTTACTATTTATCCTGTCTGAAGGGTTCGGAGCCTACCCTTAGGGGTGACAATTTAGTATAAATACAAATAAACATAATTGTAAGATATATGGTGGAGATTGGAGAAATTGCAACCTGTAAATTACTACTTTTATGTTAATATATAGAATTACTCTAACAAGACTGCTACAACTAAGAATTAAGTTTGCAATTTCTTACACTATAATTTTTAACAAGTATATACAGAATCCTGAAGAAATAATAATAAAAAAATTAAGAACAAGCAAAACTCAGTGCTGAAACTAATCAAAGGTTACGTTCAGAAACCATACCTACGATACAAATTTAGAATTTTGGTATAACAAAACAATAAAAATCTAAAATGTTTTCCTTTAAAGGTTTTCGAACATAGCCTGTCAGTGTTGCTAAGTTCTACTGTAAAGAATTAAACTTGAATTTACTATGTCACAGTCGTTGGGATCCGTCATGTTGGCAGCGGACCCGTTCATTGCAATCAGAGCCTTGTGCGTGATGGAAGACAAATTTGTTATTTAATTTTATTTCATAGAAGATTCTTAACAGCTAATATGAGAGAATGTAGAAATGTATATAATTTATATTGTGATTTACGTATGACTTAATTATTGTTGATGTAAAGATTATTTTTACATCAAATGGAATTATGTTACAGCTAGTTAGTGTTATGTAAAAGACATACAAATTGATTAAATATGCACAAGGCTCCAAATAAAAACAATATTTATTTTACCCAGCCAATGAATTTCAAATTTCAATTTTTTTTATTTTCAATGAGCGACAAAATGAATGATTTATCTAACTCTTCAATATACTCTTTAATGGTTCCTTCAATTTTAAGAAAAATAAAAAAAAACACCTTATTTCTTAAAAAAAAAATTATACCTGTTGAATCTGTTGTGCAAGCTCCCTAGTAGGTGCCAACACTAACACAATTGGCCCCTCATCTCTCAGCAGCCTGGGCTGATTGATAATATGCACAATAGCTGGCAAAATGTATGCCAATGTTTTCCCTGACCCGGTCTGAGCAATCCCCACTAAATCCCGTCCTGACAGAGCTATAGGCCATCCTTGCGCTTGGATAGGAGTTGGATGCGGGAAACCTTGCTTTAAAATCTCTTTCATAGCATAATCTGGGAAACCTCCTTCTTCAAAATACATACTGGGTGCCGGGACATCGCGACCTTTAACTGTTATTTGATTCTCGCTACGATATGCCTCAATTTCAGTAGGCGAACGCCTCTGAACATTCGGATGGGGAATATAGAAGTTTTTCTGGAACGGCGTCAGTGTAATCGATTCCCAGCGTATTTTCCGTAAGTTGCCGCCGGGCTGATCGTTCTTAAAGCTTCTGAAATCGTCGCGACCGCCCCCTCGGCCTCCAAATCCTCTTCCTCCTCTGCCTCCGTCTCGGCCGCGCATGCTGGACCCGAAGCGGCTGCCTCTCTCCTCTGATCTATCACTAGACCGGCCGCCACGGGACCCTCCCCGACCACCACCGCGGCCACGGCTCATTCCACGTCCTCCTCCGCGCCCACCACGTCTATCATCATACCTAACAAAACAATCATAAGATAAATTATACATAACAACTAAAATAAAATTTATACAACTTAATGACTTACATTTTTATAGTTGTATAGAGAACTTAAATCACAGTTCGGCTTACTTATTTTGAAGTCACTAATATCTAGTCAAAATTTTATACTACTTGTATATTGTTTTAACTAATTTCTTACAATAACAATAGGATTATTTGGCGAAGCTTATAATTTTAATAAAAGTTACTAATAGCCGCCATATTTTTTAATTAATTTACGTCACAATCCCAAACAATCAAATACTCTTCTCTATGGTATTTGTAATGTTGCTAGGTCCTTCTTTCGACGGTGACGTGTCACCGCCAATAAAAGGTTTTATAGCGTTTTTAATTATTTGTGATAAACAATTTTACATTTTATTAACAGTTAAATTAAATAACAACCAAAATACATAAACAATTAGGAAAATAGAAAAACCGAAAATGAAGCTAATTATAAACGTTGGCTCTAATCAGTAACAAACTAATTACGTATCAATCAAGAAAATATAAAAAATAAGAAATTTTAGAAGAAAAGCTTTCTCCCAATTTTACGATCTTAAACATGTAGTAATTTAAAACATTTTATAAAATCAATAATGTTGGTCACCTTCTGTATTGATCAAACTTGTTCCTACGTAGTACGGTAGAACTGAACCTTAAGTTGATAAGTTTCCAACAAACTTAATTTTTGACCGACTTCCCAAAAGAAGGAGGTACTCAATTCGTCTGTATGTTTTTTGTAAAAAATGGATTCATCTATACCTATTTTTGAAAAACCCCATCCAAGAGTCACTGTACTAGATTGGACTCGAAATATTCAAAGACTTCAGAATGAGGCCAGGGTGCGTAGGTTTGATTCGTACGAATTGAGACAGAGGGCGAATCAGCTTCGTAATGAAACATCCGTTACTACCTATTGGGATAACTACATGAACAATGATCTATTGAGGGACAGGTATAAAGCTATACCAACATAAAAACTTATATAAAACCAGTAATTGATTTGTAGTTTTTTATTTGCAGGATATTCGAAGTGCAATCATGGAGGGAGAAACAGAGATTTACAAGTGAATGTGTACGAGATGAAATTAGAGTTTTAAGAGAAGAAAAGAACTCTACGGAGCTACTTTTAGAACATTTGCAGGTGCCGTTGATGGTTGTGTCTCAATGTCTCTCAAATAGGGACCAAAGAGTACCTTCAGAATTAACTACAGATCAATTAGGAGAAGAATTAAGAAAGGTATAAAAGTATACAGATTGTTTAGAATACATTGGGAATATGCCTATACATGTTCACACATTTTTCGATCATGAATGTAGGATTTATTGATTCATGATGCAAAAAACAGTAATTGCAAAATTCCGTCATGCCATCTACGATTCTCTTCTACAGCTAATATAAATTTCAAAAGCAGCTGCTTTGATTTTTTTTAATTACTTGTATAATTCAGAAAACGCTTATAAAATATCATATTAATTATAGGAACTCCATATAATCGAGAACAGTAAACGCGTCTTAACGGACGTTTGTCACATGGGCTGGGAGAAGATCAATGAGTTACAGAATGTTTTCTGTAGACTGGAACGTGAGATACAGAATAAGGACGAAACGTTGCAACTGGAATACAATGTTAAAGATTTGAATAGAGAATGTTCCAATATTTCCTACCAATTGGACCCTACAAGAATTCCGGCCGAGTAAGTAATATAACTATAGGTAAAAAAGAATTCCTTGCGGTTTTAAAAAGATAAGCGGTCAAGAACAGCTCTTTCTTTCACCCTACTAGCATTTACACTTCTATTTGTATTGTAAACAATTGACAATACAACAAAGCGTAGTTTGTCTTTTAACGCTAAGATTTCACTCCTTCAGAAGATAGTTAAGTTTTAGTTCAGAAGATAGTTATCACTGTTTTTGAAAAGAATGAGAGGGATTAATATCGAATATGTTTTTAAAAAGTATTTCGACAGTAGAAACCAACTCGAAATACCTATAGACCGTATGCCTTTCATCTAGATCAATGTCTGAAGAGAGCTACGTGTACTGCATAGAAAATACAATAAAAATCGCCAACCAATTGATGACAGAATCCAAAGAGCTAAGAGAGACAATGTTTAAAAGCCGGGAACAAGCCAAGAACCAGATGTACGCACAGTCACAAGAAGTCGAGATGTTCATGAGGAGACGCGTCTACGATATACAAAGGGCTAGGAATGAAATGGAATGGCAGAAGACTAAGGTAAATAGGTCCACTATCGAAGGGCTTACGTTAAAATATATTGCTCAACATAAACAGTTACACTCAGTAGTTGTATGGTAGTTAACATAGTGTGTACATATAATGGTTTTTTATGATTCCAGCTGGAATCAAACTTACGAAAGGTAGACAGAGAGATAGAGTGTCTGCGAGCGGCGGTCGCGGACAAAATAAATCCGACAAAGTTAGTGGAAACAAGATTGGAAATGCGCACGCGCAGACCGGTACTCGAAAGGGTTCAGGTAATATTAAACACAAAATAATTCAACTCTACAAACTAGGGATCGTATTAATTACTAAATAAGCAACCCAATGTAACTTGACTTAACTTAAGTTGTAAGATATTTTGCTAAGGTCTAATATTATTACTTTGTGTGTTAAGTTACATTGTTTTGAAGGATATACCGATGCGCGGATTGATAGAAGAATATGAACGGGTCCATACGAGTTCTAATTTGTTGGAGAAAAAACTGGAAGATGCATTGTAAGTACTTATATCAATTGCAAAAATTTTATAAAGTAATTTTATCGTAAGGTAAAGAAAACAAAACTACTAGTCACACATTTAATTTGCACCAGGACGACATACCACGGAATGTACAATCACTACCAGCGAGTGGTCAAGGACTTGGAGTACAAGAACCAGGCGCTGGAGACGGACAGACGGCTCATAGAGATACGCCAGCCGCTGCACGGACCCAACGAAACAGAGCTCAAACGCAACGTCGGTTACTGCCGTCTAGCAGATGAATTGATACCCGAATGAACACTATATTCCGGAAATCTTTATGGTTTAGTGTTGCCCTTTGACAAAATTTTTACATTTTTACATTAGACAGAATTGTTTTACGAAATTGTAGAGGTAGGATAAGATAGCTGCAATTTCATTTGTTTGTAAAAGCTTAAATTGGACAAAACACAAAATCGGTTTTATCTAGTGGATCCGGTAATGGATAAAAAATAAAACGCCATTATCATTTAAGAATTTACATTTTTTTAATAGTGAAATACACATTTTAAACTTATACATATTACAATGTTGATCTAAATATTATTTTATATTATGTTAATATAAATGTGTTCGAAATAATTATGTTCAACATCTGTGCGTGTACCTAAAATTACAAAATTGACTTCTAAGACATTAGTAAAAATGATATAAACGATACACAAACTTAACAATTTTGATAACAATTATTTTTAGTACTTAAAGTAAAACATGAAAGTAAAGTGCATAGATTAAAAATACTGGGTTAGAACTTATTAGATAAAAATTAAGTAGGTAATGCTTATAGTATGGAATAAAGTGAAAAACTTTAACACAACAAATAAATGCGTTCAAATAATACCCATGAATTTTAGAAGCATATTAAAAAGTAATACTAAATTAACATTATTAATCTAAATAATATACGAACACATGATAAACGTTAAAATAACTTTGGCGGGATTGTGACATGTTTTAAATGCACCATAGACAATTTGAAATTGTCGGTAATTATTTTGGCGGGAATTGTGACATGTTACTTTTAATACCATAGACAATTGAGATCTAAGATGATTGTAGTTTGAGGTTAGGAACAACGTTTTCATAAGCTTCGTCCAATAAATTACATATCATTGATATATTTGAGTCGTTTAATTTCCTACTGGAAGCCAATCTTATCGAAGGTTCTGGACAATTAATCTCCGCGTCCCTTATATAAGCCGCTACAGCGAAAGCGACGCCTTTTTCCATACAATATTTTGCGATTTTCCTCAAACAAGACTGTTTCGTATCGACATCAGTATTGTCCGCATTTCTAAGGTAAATATGTTTAACCGGCGAAAGTTCGTTACCTCGGAATGTGAAATGTTTCAATTCAGCCAGTGCTCTAGAAAAATAATAAAAAATTAAAGTAGTCATATAATTCTTAGAATAGACACACCTTGGACTAAACTATCGCACAACTATTGTGAGATTGTCGAATTCCCAGACAATTCAACTGTTTAGTTGCAAAACTAAAAATCGAGTAGTGTACTTCCACATAAACTCATAGGAATGAAAGCGAAATCAGTTGTGCGATAATTTACTCTAAGGTGTGCGCGCTCTCACTATCGAAAAATCCTCTCATACGCTATATAAAGACATACTCGGCCTATACGGCCGAATTTTAAACACTTCACGAAAACGACAAAACTTTAATAGTATTCGAATTCAGTCGCCTTATTATTTAAGATATTTTTTTTTAATATCAGTAGATTTTCGTTAATTTACAAATATTTCCTTTTTTCCTAACCATTCCAACTAAGCTGTAGGCTTGTGCCTAGCACAATAGTCGAATGGAGGGATTCGAACCCTCGACCGCAAGATCGGTAGTCCGTACCCCAACCATTAGACTATTGGCGCTTGCATATTTAAATACCGTTCCAATATTCGGCAATACATTTGAATCGAGGTTTTGGTATAATTTCCAGTTAAAGACAATTTAGTTTGCGAATTGTAGATAATTTTTTTCATAGAACATTGATAAAACGTATAGATAACGCACTCAACTTCAGTAATAATATTTTACGACAATTTCGCACTGATAGTACATTTAATAGCGTAAGTAATTTAGCAATGAATAAAAACTTGAAAAAAAAAACAATATGTCTCTTAATTTATTCTTAAATCCTCATATAATGTACAAAACATAACCATGCTTTTAATAACTAGTTACTTGCTACTTCGTCCGCTTAAATTTAAAAACAAAATTACTCACAGATAAATTACCTTTCCAATGGTAAAAGAGTTTTTAAAATCGGCCCAATAGTTTTTGAGTTATTTCAATAAAAAAATACTAATGTTTCCTCTTTATAATATTTAGAAGTTAAATAAAATAATAAATAATACATTACTTGTTAAGTTTTATGGAGTTTTCGTCTAATTCTTTGAGGATGTTTGGTTTCTCTTCCAAAATATCCAAAGCAGTGATAGCGGCTTGCGTCAACATCGGCGGTAAAGACGCGCTGAAGCAGTAACCTAAGAACAAAATATAATTATAAATAACAAGCTTACACCCGCAACTTTATCCGTGTGGAATTAAAAAAAAACAAAAGTGAGTAGGCTATGTGTTCTTCCTGACTATCCTCTACATCTATGCCAAATTTCATCAATATTCGTTCAGCAGTTTAGGCTACAAAATCTAAAAAACATCCATCCATCCATCTAAACTTTCGCATTTATAATATTAGTAAGATCTCTATACTAATAATATGAAGGAGAAAGATTTACATTTTTGTATGTATTGGAATAACTTAAAAACTACTGGCCCGATTTCAAAAGTCCATATAAAAATTCACGTTTCATTCGAATCAAAAATTACAACTAGCTGTTTCTCGCGAATTCACCCGCGTGAAATTAAAAAAATAGTAAAATTACAGCCTAAGTTACTCAGTGATAACATAGTTTTTTTAATGGTGCAAGAATTTTTGAAATCGGTCCAGTCATTTTTGAGTTAATTTAATACATATAAAAAACCAAAAATACAAACCTTTCCACTTTATAATCTAAACTATTATAATAACGCGTAAACACACACTTCTTTGTTGACTAAGATGTCAGCAATAACATGTTTTTGAATAATTCATTTTTAATAAAAAGTCCTACACTTGCGTCACGCTTTAGGCTATATATTTAACCGCCATTGAACTTATGGGGTAAACATTTTGGATAAAAACCCTAATGTGTGAAAGAAACCATAAGTCACTGCCAACATCAAGGAAGCATGGTTGTCATTGTGTCATGTCATTTTGACATTTGAAATTGCTAATTTGACAGATGTAAAAAATAAAACAAAATTTTCATAATTTCATGCGGATGAAGTCGCACTGGAACAGCTAGTATTAGTATAGATATAGATAGTATAGACTACGAAAATTTAAGGTTAAAACAATGTCTTATAAAATGTATAGTTTGACTGTAACTTACACTTGAGGACTTAAAAACTATCATAAGTGGTATAGAAGTTAGTTGAAGTCAGCTCACCAAGTCCAGAGAGCCGCTGGTGCTCCACAATAAAGTGGGTGCCGGCACAGAAGCCCCCGATTGTCGCGAACGAGTGTTCCAGCGAGCCCACGATCAAGTCAATCTCGTCTCGCGGGATCTTCAGATGTTCCGTTATACCCCGACCGTGTTTACCCAATACCTGTATACAAAGAGAAGTATGCCAAAACTTTGTAGTGCCGGAGGTCTAGTTTTAGTCCCTTTTCCTTTCCACCCATTTTCTTAAAAGAGGTTGCGAAGGAAAAGTGGATTCGACGGTGGACACGCATAAGAAGGACATATATCATTTTCATGTGCGTATCTGCAATTGCGATTGTCTTTAGGTAGCGGTCGCTTTCCCATTTCGGCGGATTTAGGTGGCCGCTTGCTCATTTGCCACTTCGCCATATTAAAAAAAACCATACCGTATTACACTAAAAATATAATCAGACACTGTTTAAACAAGTTTTTTAATTGATTTTTTATGATTACGCCCTCAATCTCTCCTATCTAGTCAGTTAAACTACATTTTTACGCTTTAAAAGTCTAACTAAAAAAAACTTTAAAAATGGATTTAATGCAATTCTTACCCCAATAGTTAAACTTTCATCCAAGATAATTCTCAACTTAAATCTCCTAGCTAATTCCACCACTTGCTTTAATGGACACATTTCTCCAGTATTAAAGTATATAGCTTCAACCACGAGGAAGGCGCGTCTCTTCGGATTCAGTTCCTTCTTCTGAGCAGCTTCTGTCAGCTGTCGCTCGAGGTCGCCAGCGTCATTGTGCTTGAAGTAACGGACAGTGCTTCTAGAAGCTTCGATACCTTTTTGTATCGCGAACCAGACTGCTTCGTCACTGTTGGGGAAATTGGATACTGTCACATGCTAATCAATATAAGATAGCTATATAATATACTTCTACTTTACAGAATAAGGTGGCAAACGAGCAAGCGGCCACCTAAATCCGCCAAAAGTGGCAAAGCGACCGCTGCCCATAGACATCCGCAATTGCAGATGCGTTGCCTACCTTAAATTAACAGAGGAGAAGACGCTCATAAATAGGATATTTCTCCTGCCTATACGTCTTCTCCACCGTCAAATTAGTTTTCCAACTCTTTCCTTATAAGAAAAGAGTGGAACGGGGAAGGGACTAAAATTGGGCGTCCAGAACCACACTCATCAGTCTAAACGCGGAATTGCTTCCACTTGAATTATTCCCAATCGTCACCCCGTTCTGTCCCCACGTGAGAATAAAAAAAATCATCTGTCCCACGATCACCAATAAGGTGACAAATGGATCCGTTGGGTGGTTTTACATGGTCTGTTTTAAATGAAATTATTTTTGGACAACCATATTTTAACGTTTTCTTTCTTAAACCAACAAAAACAAATTAAGGTCATTTCAATAAAGGTCAAATACTTCCCAAGGTCTAATTAACATAGTTAAATATTTATTGGAATCATGTAAATTGTATTAGACCAATTTAATCGAAATTTGTTAATATTCAAGATGTTTCGTATTGAACAAACGGCAAGACATTCAAACCGGAATAACGAAAGATAAAAATTTATCGAAACTTGTGGAACAGCATTTCCCAAATTGTCTGAAAAAAGATCTAAAATGTACGTGAATTATATAAATAAAAAAAAAAACTTTACGTTGAGTGCCTTTGCCGAAATTAAAAAAAATTGTAATTTTTTTAATGCGGAAACCATCATAGATGACTATCTTTTTAATAATTATATATTTGCGATGTATTTCAACGCGATTTATTTTATATAATTTGAACGTTCTGTAATTTTATAAGCCTGTAGTTTGTTTTTTATTATACGGGGTCAAATTACCAATGCCAATTAATAAAAAAGATAAAAATGCTACCTATTCCTAATAAAGATTAAAAAAAAAATAAGAAGGGGTCACCAATGCCTATGGACACCCACAAAAGCAGTTTTTTTGTAACTGTATACCTTGAAGTGGCATTTACAGATTCACCAGGCTTGAGGTGGCCAAGCGCAGATGTCGCTTAGCCTAAACCTCGTTTATGAGTAACTAAGCTCGAGGGTTCCCTCAGGAGCCTCGGCACGAGCCGTTACTTCGTTATTATTACCGGATTGGGAGGCCACCGAGCTCTTAGATCGCTTCGATGGACGCTCCATGGAGTGACTAGGCACAAGGGCGCGCAAGAGGGAACTTCGGCTTGGGCTAACACTCAATACCAAAAAAGCAGATGAACCGCAAAATGTATTAAGAAAGAAATAAGCATGCTCAAGGAAGGTCAGGCCACTCAACAAACATGACTGTTTTTAACACAGACATTTTAATAAGCAAATAATAATAATTCTTTGGCAAATACGTTTAAATGGATAACAAGTGTTTTTACATGTTATACACTTATTTATACAACAAATAAACAGGTAATTGAATAGTATATAAACACTAGTTTTACCCGTGACTTTGTTTGCGTGGGATTGAAAAATACAAAACTAAGCCTATGTGTTCTTCCAAACTATGCTCTACATCTATGCCAAATTTAATTGAAATCCGTTAAGCAGTTTAGGCTACAAACTCTAACAAACAACCATTCATCCATTTTTCACATTTAAAATTTTAGTAAGAAGTAAGATTCTATCCTAAATCTACATATGTTCAAATTCAAGCCATTCAAATATTAACTGTAAAATCTACTGCTGTTGTTCAAGAGGAAACCCAACAACTAGTCATTGAATTGTTCCACCTAGTGTGTTATTTCTTAAACAAAATCTAAACTAAGTAATAAAACATATGACATAATAAATCTATGCAAATCTAATTGAAAATATTAGAATAAAAATTTAAAATATTGTTTTACTGATTTTTATCACATTTGAAAAAAACTTGTTCAACTTAATCTTGATATGAATCTATGTATTATAATAACTTGAAGTAATTGCGCTTGAATAAAGCAAACAATATAAAATTAAAACAATAGTTTAGCCCACAGTGTAGATAACAATGGATTTTTAGATATTATAAACTAAGTATAAACATTATAATTATATATTAAGTCGGATAAAATACAAAAAGACTATACTAGAGGAAATTTTAAAGTAGCCTCAGTGGTAGTGAGGGTACAGAGTAAAAGGTTAGCATGGTATGGGCATGTTATGAGGAGAGATGAATTGCATGTTACAAGGAGAACTTGGTTATGAGTGTGGAAGGGTACACCGGTGGAGGTACACCTAGAAAGAGAAGGATAAATTGCATGAAAGGTGATCAAAAAGGGAGTGATGACTGAGATAATGTATGATAGAGTTATTTGGAGGACAATAACCTGTTGTGACCTGAGATTGCAAGAACCTAAGATTTGTATTTTGATCTATCTCATGAAACTACCTTGCTTAAGATATCTCCTAAGACAAAACTTCATTGTCTGGAGGTATTATACAGAATTTAATAAAGTTTTCATGTCATATATTCCTGACAAACCACATAAGAACATGGTTAAATTCTATAATAGTTAATTAATAAAAGGAAAATATATCAAAACAATTGTGTTGTTGATGCAAACATCTAAGGAAAATATTTTGTACATCCCATAATTTATCTTACAGCTTTAAAAGTTTTCCTGTTTTGTTGAAACTTACGCAAATATGATGTCACTCTTCTTGGAATATGCAGGGATTGCGCTGGCTATTGTAGAGAACCCATATGAGTATACGCAAGTCTCTTCTACTTCTAGAAATTTGGCCAAGCGTTCCTCAAGTTCTAAATGCACATCTATAGTCCCATAGAAGCCACGAGGGCCACAGGAACCAACTCCATACTTGTGTAGAGAATTAATAGCACTTTCAAGAATAACTTCCTCTTTATCAAGGCATAGGAAGCTGGTAGCACCCACATTAAGTACGTTTTCGTCTATTTTACCCATCAATGGTGCCTCGTCGTTCTCAACTTCGTAAGGCACCAGAGGTATTGGGTTCCATTCTATACGCTCGTCTGTCATAAGTGGATCCTTGTATTTCTTACTTTTTCTCGTCCATAAGAAGTATGTCGAGACTAGAATAACTTGGAGTGCGATAAGAAACGTCCAACAGCTCATCTAATAAGAGAAAATTATCATTAACGTATTGGTAAAAAGTTTAATTGGAAATATTAAAATGTTTCTATAACTGAATGGTCAATTAATTTTTTGAATAAATATTTAACTGCTTACCATATCATAAATGTCGACTAAAATCATTTTTGTATAGCACTGTTACAGCTCTGCAATTAATTACAACTGTATCGCACCACCTTAACCCACTACTTTTATTGAATTTGAAACGCTGCTGCATAAACGTCATGTCAACGTCAATCAACCATAGACATTAACGATTGACAGTTTGTCGCGATATGTTGCTATTGCTATACCAAAAAAGTTACCATTATGACACATATTCAATCTTTTTTAGAACTGGCAATTGTTGTATTCTATCCATCAAAACAAAACATTGACTTTTGAAGTTGTGTCAAATCCGTCAAAAACAATTTTTACGGTAATGTGAAATGTAATTCGTTTTTGTAACATAAATAAAAGTATAGTTGATATTGAATATTGACTAAATTCATAATGAATTTTAGCGGCACATTAAGAATTAATAAATTCGCATGTTTTACATTACTGTTTATATTGTTTGTCATTATTTACTGGAAATCGAACGGCGGGGCATATCCCACTGAAAAAAGTGAAATTATTAATTTAAAAACATTACTAAAAGCTGCAATCCATGCGGCAGAATACGGAGGGAGTAAAGTAGTGGAGGGTACGAATCGGGATTTGAATATTAAGAGCAAAGGGAAGACGAAAGAAGGTGTAAACGACCCAGTGACGGACGCGGATCAAGCATCGCATTGTGTTATGTTTTACGGTTTAAGTAAGACATTTCCTAAATTGAAGATAGTGTCTGAGGAGCACTCTAAAAATGATCCTAAATGTGAAGACCAGGAACCGTTCAATACGGACACACCACCCCCAGAACATCGTATGATCGAAGATATGAACAACGAGCTCGTATTTGCCAAAGATATTACAATATGGATAGATCCTTTAGACGCTACTAAGGAATATACAGGTAATTCTTCTATTTCAATTAGTTTTAGCAAATTCATGTATAAACAAAGTAATTTACAATTAAGATTTGCTTTAAAAAGGGAAGCTATTTTTTATGTATTTTAAGTCATCAAACAGCTCATGGCTCTTCAACCCACATAGTTACTAGTTAGATTACAAAGTTATTTAGTTGTTACTCATTTAGTTGTAGGGCTCAGCTAAAGTTCAAGTCTATATTATATGAACTTTTGAAATGGTTTCAGCTGATTAACATTTAACAGGCCATCTTAGTCAGGAACCTCGTAATACACTTGTTTTTAGTCAAATAAAAGTGGTAATAATGTTTGTTTACTGTTTCCAGAGGGTCTATATCAATATGTGACTACAATGGTCTGTATAGCTTACAAAGGAATCCCAATAATTGGAGTAATTCATTATCCATTCCCACGGGAAAATCCTCAGACTTACTGGGGCTGGCTTGCAAAGAGGACATCAAGTAATGTGGCCAATGTTGTTCATGTAAGATTTTATTTACTGCAATTTTCTATTCCATGTAACAAAGTTTTGTTTTTAATTTTCTTTTTTTTCCAAACCTGTTCTTTCTGTTAGATATAAACTGTAATGCCCAGTTCACACAGTTTAGTCAAATAGCAAGTAATTTCATAACTAAACATGTCTGAATAATAAAATCTTCAATAAGATTAGTAACAAATTTAGAAAAGAACATTTAATCAATGTTATTCGGTACTTAACTAAGTTTTTAGTATAGCACGAAAAGACTCTCCAGAAGCTATTTTTAGTAATTAAGTATGGTTTTTATTACAGAGAGAAGAAAATAAAAAGAATCCAAGAGTAGTTGTGTCAATTTCCCATCAAGGGAAAGTGTCTGATATGGCTAAAGAAGCATTTGGTTCTGGGACAACTGTAAATAATGCAGCCGGTGCTGGTTACAAGGTTATGGGTGTTGTGAATGGTACTTACGATGTATATCTTCACACTACAGCTATAAAGAAATGGGACTTATGTGCGGGTGACGCTATTATAAGAACAGTAGATGGTAAAATGACAACCGCTAAAGGTGATAATATTGATTATTCTCCGGAAGCAGATGTCAAAGTGACTGAAGGTGTTGTTGTAACAAGGTATGATCATGACTATTATTTAAGTAAGATATCAAAAAAGTTTAATAAGAAACCTTAATCTGCATTAAAAAGTTAATAACTACTTGATTGTTGAAATAAATCTTTAATGAAGTTAATGTTGTGCCATTACTAACTAGAAACTTCTAAAATCTCTTGGAATGGTAGAAAAAAACATAGACAAATTGAGAACCTCTTTTTGAGTGTGTTGAAATTAATGGCAGCATGTCAGTTACTGGTGAAAGAGAATTCAATCAAGTTCATTTTGTATTTATAATACAAGTTTTTTATAATTTGTATTTATACATTTAATCCTTAAATGTGCACTGTTGTATACATACAACATAAAAAAATTGGATGCTTTTTTTTTAATTTTTTCTCCTTTACCGATTTAAATATGATTTTTTCGATATGTTTCGAAAAACCACACATTAAGTGTTAAGTAAATGACATAGTGAATGAATGATATATGAATTAAGTTTTTAACTTGTATTCCATTCTTGCTATTTTTTTTTTAATCTGCATTTTAGCACAAAGCTAGAATTGCAGATTTTATTAAATTCTTCAAATATTTTTATGTCTTATGACATTTTACATTAAAGCTATTGCTGTATTTTAATAAATTGCATTTTTGTATAAACAACAATTATTGTACAGTCAACTGCATTAAAATGTGTATTTACAAAACTGTAGAAACTCATATCCATGTATTTGTCTCATATCTTATTCATATTTGGGAACATATGGAGATAAATGCATATTCTTGATACCAAGCTAGTCTTGGGTAGTACACATACGATGTACTAAAAAGTAATGTTACTCGGCACTGTACTAATAGTAACGTTACCGAACGACTTCTGTTAATCGGACATTTAGTACTTTTAGTACACTACACGATATCGGTGTTCGCTTCTTCGTTGTTTGATTTGATTGTATATTTGCTAGATTGAAGCATACACTTTCGGTAATAAAAATCAAAAATGGATTAAATTACTTACAACTTAAATTTATTTTCGCTACTAACATATGTTTGACTGCTTAAAATTTGATGTGAAGTAATCTATAACCCTCGTTATTTTATATTCATGTATTGTGTTCTCACAACTCCGAAGTACTAAAGGTACTAAATGTGTGTACTAGTACGTTTTCCGAATTGTACTAGTACGGTGCGCACTTACAGATGTCCGATAAAGCCCAAGACTATACCAAGCATGTCCACGTGTCTGATGGTTTGTAACTGTATACATATTTGTGCAGCTGACTGTACTCTATGGCAGTCAATTCAGTTTTATACTCTGTGTCATCTGGCATAGACAAATGGTTACTTTTTACCCCTACTTTTTCTATAACCCTTGTATTATTTGTTTTTTACATATATATCTGTTGAAACAAGGTTATTTTTTACATTTGAATCAATTATTGTTTTTTTTATTACTTTAGGAGGAATTTAATTTCATGATTTTTTAATTTATTTTTAGATTGTAAGCTAACATTTAAAACTTCCCCTATGAAATAAAGGATGTTGTAAAAATGGTTGTTTAAGGTGTTTGTGTTTTATTTTCAGACACATTTAATGTTATACAGGATGTCAAGAAATCATAAGTAATCAACTTTGTTACCATAGTTGGAAACCTTATTTTGGCCTTATGATTTCTGAACATCCTGTATAATAAATAATGTGAAAGCTGTAAATATTGTAATGATCAGTCTGTAAATAAATTTATCATGCCAAATGTTTATTTTTATTTACGAATGTTCTTTCAATGGAAATAAAAATAAAGGAATGTTGAATAAAACACAGGTGTGACACAGACTATGTTAAGACTATTTTATTTTAATAAATAAAGCATGAAATGGATTGAAACGACAATCAGCTACAGATTAATTGTTACAATAAAACAAAAAATGTTCACATGAAGATTAAAGGAATGTGTCAAAGGTGTTAATTTGAAGCCATTTTCTAATTGTATGATGGAAAACATAATTGTACTTGTAGAATCATTTTCATCAAATATTCCTTTTTCTTGTCCAAGATTCATTCTTTAAAAGAGTTCGAACGCAATTCAATTCATTTTTTAAAATTGCACTTTTTGGGACACCCTGTAATCTTTAAAACTTGCCCACATTGAAGACTTACCCGACTAAAAAACTGAAGAATTATCTTTTAATACATATAGTGTACAATTATCCTATGTTTATAGCAGTTTTTAGAAATAAAACAATAATTTACATAAATCATTTTATACAAGTACATAAGCCACAAGAATACTGGCACAAATGAAGTAAAAAATAGTTTTCCATTGCGACATTTTAAATACATATTGCATCTTACATTCACTTTGACAACAGCAATATTAAAACTCACGGCAGTGAAATTCTAAACATTTCAAATTTACAGTTTTGTAGAAATAATTTTTCAAATTAAACACAATATAAAAAAACATACAGATGAATGTACCTACTTCTTTTGGGAAGTCGGTCAAAAATATGAGGATATTACAGTGGAAGATTTCGACCATAAAATGAAATATTTTTAAATCTGGGATGAAACTAAAAAATCATCACTAAAAATCCAAATATTTTTCATATAGTTATTAAAAAAAAATCTTGTCATAAGATTCAGTTCCAGTCTCTCGAAAGACGAACTAATTAAAGATTACTTTTTCAACATATCAGTTGAAAAAAAAAATTGGAAAAGATGAAATATTTCGGAATTTACTAATTATAGCGAGTTTTCTACAGCATTTTTGTGGCAAATATTTATGGGTTATAAACCTTTTTTAGGAACATTCCATCCCAGTTAAAAAAAAAAATAGTTATATGCAACTTAGAATGGTTGATTTTATGTCTGTAAATCTTACATTTGTCTTTTTATTTGCAAGTAATTATATTATAATACATTTAAAACTGACTTGAACAGTAAATATGCATTTGCAGCACATAAATGCGAAAATTTTAGTAATACCAGTCATTAACGTAACAAAGCAATGCCTTAGGCAAACTTAGTGTCCATAAATTTAACAATTTGGTGTACATAATACGCATTTACCTAAATTTGTGATAAATGTGAGGATTACAAATTGATTAAATTAATAAATCGATACAAAAACATCGATGTTTAAGAAAAAATACGACAAACAAATAAATCTATAAAAATTATATATACAAATAAGTCGACTGATAATTTATTCGTAAGTATAAGATAAGCAGTACCATTTTATTTATAACCTATTACGCTACTTACAATGTATTTCATAATTTAGCACAGTAAAAACCGAGCCCGTACAAACCGGCCGCCTTTGTAAAAAAAAAAAACAGTTTGTGCGATTTGAAATGAAACTAGTGTATCTATGCTTTAAAAACTACAAATGTTATATGGCAACACTATGTAATGTCAAATATTTTGTTATCTTTCATGAGATATTCTAGATTTTTCTATTTAATGTCAAAGGATACAAAAATGGACGGTAGAAGCTTTTTAGTTAAATGTAATTTCGTTTTTTTTTTTAAATTTCGATGGCAAAACATTGAGATCATTCAATTTCTAAACGTAACTAATGTCATAGATTAAAAAACATTTACATAGTCTGTTTCAACTTTTATAGACAATGTATATAGTTTTTTCGAACCGTTTCTTACTCACACTGTTTCTATAAATTAAACATTTATTACTGATTTTAGAGTAGATTTAACGTAGGTTGTAATTTCAAGGTCAAATCTGTAAATGTGTTTTTAAATGTAGCTAGATAATACAAAAGCGGCCGGCTGTAGGGGATGATAATCTATGCAGGCCGGTGTCCGCGTGGCGGGGGGCGGGGGCGGGGGCGCGGTCGCACACACACAGTATATACATAACATTTCATGTTAAACCTTTTTGTATCGTAACTCTTATCACATATTGAGATTTTAACGTCCATTGCTCGAAACAGCAGCGCCGCCTTGAGGTTTACACTGAATCGTCTGCAAATTATATGTTACAAGCTTTTTAAACTGTAATATACTAAAAACATTAATTAAACATCTCTTTATGTGCATAAAATAATTTTTATAGTTACAAATAGACCCCATTTCAATGTCAAAAACGTGTCAAAAGATGCTGTGCGCAAGCTATCACTGACCTCTGACAAATGGACAGGCTATAAGAAGTGATCTGCCATTTAATTGGTGCTGATATTTAAGTCAGTGGTGGGTAATTCGAAAAAATATACAGAAATAATTAACGTCAACTACGTTTAAGTCGGAATTAAATAAAATCATTGACTATGACCTATCCATTTGTAGACATCAGTGATAGCTGTTATGTTCTTTTGCCATATTCTATGTCGGGTTTCAGGTATTTTCTAACATAACTAACGAATGAAGCTCATCGTGCAAATTAAGTTAGTCGTATTAAAATTGCATAAACGGGTATATTAACATCCTCGGCTGTGTAATAATCGTTTTCTCGCGCTTTACTAAACCTTCGACTAAACAATCGCAAAACTTGTTTGTCGCTTGTTTCGCAGCCAATTCAACTGTTTAGTTGCACAACCTCCTTGGCTGTTGTACCTCCATGTAAACTATACATCTATACTATTATAATGAAGCGTAAACACACACTTCTTTGTTGCCTAAGATGTCATCAATTACAGCATATTTTTGAATAATTCTATCTTTAGTAAAAAGCCCTACACTTACGTCATGCTTTAGGCTATATATTTTCAAGCCATTAAACTTAGGGGGTAAATATTTTAGATAAAAACCCTAATGTGGGAAATAGACCATAAGTTGCTGCCTACATAAGGGAAGCATGTAATGTCATGTCATTTTGACATTTGCTATTGAATGTAACAAATGTAAAAAATAAAATATTCATAATTTCATGCGGATGAAGCCGCACGGGAATAGCTAGTAGGAAATAAAGCGAGAAACAGTCGTGCGATAGTTTAGTCAGGTTACAAGTTAAAACTAGTCTACAATTACATTCCAACAGACACGTACTGGTGTTTGCGATATACTTAATGGATTGTAGATTTCATATCTCGAGATAAGATTACGATTGTCCGAAGATAACGCAATTCAAATGTACGATAAAAACATTACGTTAGTAATAAAGTTTTATAAAACATCTAAAGGGGGTAGACAGAGATGCAGCGTAATATTATAAAGAGGAAATTTTGTGTTTTGGTATGTATTGAAATAACTCAAAAACTATTGAGTCGTCTTTAAAAATTCTTTCACCATCAGAAAGGTAATTTATCTGTGAGTAATATAGGCTATATTTTATTGTTACTAATGTTTAGGAACTATTAGTAAACAGCGTGTTTCTGGACGCCGGCTTTGAAAATTCACTAAACTTTATTTTTTTTCCTTACGCTGCCTAAACTGTTAGAGGTATATAATTTAATAATATATGCAAAAAAGCGATTATTTTTTTTGGTTCCACAAGGAATTTAACGAGAAATAATTTATTATCGTACTAAATAAATGCGATAGTTTAGATGGACGTTTGTTAGATGTAGCCTAAACTATGACATAGATGAGTCTAGAAGAACACAGGCTTACTGTATTTTTTTTTAATTCCAGTCGAACACGGTCGCGGGTAAAAGCTAGTAATAAAAGAGAAACATACCATGATACCACCATTTCGTTTTCTTAGGATTTTTACTGCACGTTTTGACGTAAAAGGAATTATCAGGCGGTCGTTTCTGTAACAGCGAAAACAAGTTTTTTAAATTCGAGAAACTTCTATATGTTTATGAAATAGACAAAATGGTATTTACATACATAATGGTTGCAATATCAATGTAAAAAGTTTTACAATTTTTATTTTTTAGGATTACTCCTACTCAAAGGAATTAAAATAACTCGGTTTGAATTCAATCAAATATTAGATTAGGGTTCGTTCACACAGACTAGAGCATAGCAGATTTTATATAGCAAAAAAAATGTGATTTATAAGATTAAAACAATTAATTGTACTTTATACACGTATCATATCAATATAAAGATTATTTACGGTAATAATTTCTGCTCTGTTGTACAAGGACCCTTAAAGATCGATTACTCGGTTTAAATTTCCACTTACTACAATAATGCTGTTAAATCGCAACATATACTTAAATATATCGTATTACTGACCTTTTCCTTGCAACTGCTAAGCATGGAGACGATGGAGAGGCAGACGGACTGCACGGAGAGCGCGGGCGACCAGTCGTCCGTCAAGATTGACAGGCAGATATGTCCGTTAGAGTACACGTGAGGATGCACAGGGATATTGTTGCCGATAAACGTCACCTAAACCACAAAAAAAATATAATCAAATAGTCACACAAACTTTCTGGGAATATTCCCAACCGTCACCCCGCTCTGTCCCCACGTGAGAATAAAAAGTTTCATCGGTCCACCTTGTAGGCCTACTATCACCAATAAGGTGAAAGATGGAACCGTTATGAAATAAAATAAGTTCCAACCTTCCCTTCGTCGTAAAAGAATGGACGGATGAAAACAGTTAATGGTGATAGTGGTTCTAAAAGGTGGAACATGTGAAACATTTTTTATATCGTGGGGACAGAGCGGGGTGACGGTTGGGAATAATCCGTCCACTGTACATCACATAAAAACTTTGGGTAAAATATGTACATATGAAATTGGTTATTTGTAAGAGACGGAGTTTGTCTCTGCAATTTTCCGTAAGTGGACACCACGGTTGTCCGCGACTGTACATAGTCAGTCCAAATTACACTCCACTGAGGCAGTTTTAATCTTTCGACTGTCGTAAAATGAATGAGCTCATCTCCGCGGATTACTTCAATCTGTTTGCTTAAGTTCAACAACCTCACAAAAAATACTTCGAATAAACAATTGGTTTGTTTTCAAAGGTTAACAGATCTCGATGAAATTTAGCAGTTTTTTTTTATTTAACAAGCAGCAAATCGCAACGAAAAGCTGGTTTTGTGAACTAATATTATAAAGAGGAAAAATTTCATAGTTTGCATGAAATATGCTCCAAAACTACAGCACCAATTTGAAAAATTCTTTCACTGTTGGAA